ATCATACAATATCTATTTAATTATAATAGAGATTTTAGGAACAATACAGAGATTTAATGACCATCACAAACAATTGATCACTTAGTAAGCTTTGGAGTTCTAAGTAGCAAATATTGTTAGCCTTTTATATTATATTTGATTAAAATTATGATCTATACACTTGGAGAGACTGAGGAAAGAAGATCACAAGTTCAACCCCAGCCTGGACAATTTAGTGAAATCCCTGGAGCCTTCATGTAGGTAGGCACAGTAAAGTCAGATCATGTATGTATGATTAGTTTGTTCAGTGAACAGTGAGCACATAAGAACAAATATGTCAGGTTATTTTTAAACGTCTTCATTAAAAATAGCTTTACCGGGCTAGTGAGATGGCTCAGTGGTCTAAAGCACCTACTTGGAACAAGCTTGGCAAAGCACAGGGACCGCGGTTAGATCCCCCAGCACCACATGCCAGCCAGCCCCGCCTCCTAGTGGGCTGAGCTGGCCACACACACACACACACACACACACACAATAAATAAAAAATAGCTTTACCCTCCAGAAACTCACAATGTAGTGGAAATGAGACTTGTAAACAAAAATTGAACACAAAATAATTGGACCTCAATAGAAATGTGCCTGAAAGGAGACATGTCAATGACTTGCCCACAAAAAGGGGAGTCAGGGAAGGCTTCATGAAGCAGGATTAAGGAATTTTTAAATAATTTAAAAAATCTTATGGAGGAACAAGGTAGCTCACAAATGGAGAAAACTTCTGTGTAGTGAAGCTTTGCAGTGTGTATCAGAGTCCTTAAAATATTCCTTTTGACTCAATAATCTTAGTTTCAGGGATTTTAATAGTGAATTTAAATCTTTTGGCAAATGTGATTATCTTTTGAATCCATGTACTTTTCATTATCCATCACCACTCTAGTCTAAGCTATTCGCATCTTGAAAGGTTTTACTACAATAGCCTGTAATCTTGGTTTATCCTAATCTACCCTGTCCCCATTTAATCTAATTTCTACACTGTAATCAGAATGATCTTTTCAAAGTGCAACCAGATTAAGTCATGGTAGTTTAGGATGTAG